TCCCTGGAGTCAAGGATTCTGAAGCTTCATCTGACATCCTTTGGGCATGTTTCAAGGAGAGACTGGTGCTTGGAGAGGGACATCATGTTCGGGAGAGTGGAAGGATGGCGTAGGAGAGGAAGACCCTCGATGAGGTGGATCAATTCTGTGAGTGGAGTGGAATGAATATGTTTGAGACAGTGAGGTTGGCACAGGATAGAATGGCGTTTAAGGCTCTTGTACATAGGGTCGCTATGAGTCGCTAATGACTCGATGGCACATAACAACAACAACAACGTTTCCATTGAGGTTCTTGTCTTCTAGCTCACTGACTCTATGCTCCATCTCTTCTCTTTTACATTTTTGTCACTCCAGCATGGTGGACACTTCTGCTTCTGCCATCAGTCTTAATATTCTGGATTGTATTTTCATGCATTTCTACTATTTCCAGTACTCTGTTGGCTTTACCCTCTCTATCTTGTGATGATTTTTTTAAAAGATTTTGTACCTATTTATCTATAATTTCAATCCCCCCCCCACTCTTTTGCCTTTTCTTCTGTAGTTGTGCAACTTCCTGCTCATCGGTCTATTTTTCTGGCTCCATGTCTCTGGAGTGTTTATTTTCTTAGTGGTTTCTATTGTTTTTCCCATCATTTGCACCTTTCCCCATAGATGTTCAAACAACTCCTCATCAATCTATTTCTTCTGGTTCTCTAACACTAGGGTTTTCCCTTTATTTGTGGCTTCCATTTTTTTTTCTTCCATCATTTGTACTTTCATTCATAGCTGTTTCGATGTCACCACATCAACATGTATCATCTGCCTTCTTGACTCTGGGGTATTCATGAAGTCTGCAATGCTTTCTGCTTTTATTCTGGAGAAGATTTCATTTGTTTTTTTCACAGTGTTTGAAGCTGCCTCCTGCTTTCACAACGTTTTTGAAGTTTTTCTTGATAAGTGTTAGGCAATTTCTATTGTGTCTGCTTATGTTGATGATGATTCTTGCCTTTATCGTGTTATTGCTTAGTTGCCAAGTTAAAATGTTCAATCAATGGGGTTAGCCACTCACTCCACTAGAAGTCCTTTCTGGTAAAATTTGTGTTTTCTAAAGTCCTCGATGTTCTCTCTGTTCTGCACTGCAGCCCTTCAATTATCTAGCCTTGATGTAGCCCCCTGTCCCAAATTCTATTGTCCTCCTTTATGAGACCAGGTGCTCTACTTGAGCAGTTTCTCATGCACCTTTTCTCCTGAAGCTTAATGTCTTCCTTTATTTCTGGAGTGGCATGAGATCAGAGATCTGGGCTGTCTGCTCACGCAGCTTGTGTGCACGGTGGGATCTCTAGTCAGCCCTCCCTCTCAGAGAGCTGAGAAAGCCTTTCCCTTGATTGTAGTTCTATGTCCTAAAGTCTCTTTTCCTGGTTGGCCCCTGCAATGGCCCTCAGAGGCAAGGATCACCAAATAGAGGGACCTATATCCTCAGCAGGAGTGGCATCCACTTCTTAAACATGTCTCTGGAGACTCTATGAACTTTGAGAAACCATGATAGTTTTAGAAAGGCTTCAGGGTTTTTGTTCATAGGGTCATGAATGTTCATGAGTCATTCTCAACTCAACCTACAGTAAACAACAACAATATTCTCAGTGAAGATTCAGTCCTGCCTCCTCACAAGTAATAGGGAGCACTTGCTATGGGCACAGAGCCCCACCTCTCTCACCTTTTCTCCTGCGCTATAAGGTCTTCCTTGTTCTCTGGAGTCCTCCATCATATTTGATGAGCAGTTTTGTTAACAACAGTATTCTTGGTTGGCAATTGTATTCTTTGAGTGTTTGATATATGTAATTCAACTGTTTTCTTGCTCACATGGTTTCTGCTGAGAAATTGGCACCTAATCTTACTTGCTCTCTTATAGGATACTTTTCATTTCTCTCTAGCTACTTTCAGAATTCTCTCCATATCTTGGGTTCTGGAAAATTTGACTGCGTTATTTTTGCCTTGGTGTTGTTCTTTTGAGGTCTGTTCTATACGGAGTTTGCTCGTCTTCTTGAATATATCTTCTCTCATTTTTCATTATACCTGGGAAGTTTTCTACTAGTAATTCTTCCACAACTTTCTCTGTGCCTTTAACTGCTTCTTCCTGTTCTGGGTTTCTGATTATGTGTATGTTATTCCTCTTGATGGTGTCCCACATTATTCTTAGGTTTTCTACTTTTCTTTCCTTTTTTATTCTTCCTTTTGTTTAAGCAATTCGGTGCTGAGAACTCTGTCTTCTATTTTGCTGGCTCTGTGTTCCATCTCTTCAACTCTGCTCATATGTTCCTCCAACATGTTCACAGCATCTGGAACATTGGTTCTCATATTCTGGATTGCAATTTCTTATTTTTCCAGAGCCTCTAATGCCTCATTTGTTTTATCTGCCTTGTCTTGGATCTTTAATTTTTTTTAAGTTCCTCTTGGCTTTTGCTTGCAGTGTCTTGTAATTCTATGAGTTTGTCTTTCACCCATTGAAAATATCCAATCATTGTTCTTTTGAATTCTGTGTCAGAAAGTTCCATCAGACTTTCTGGATTTAAGAAATCGACTGGTTCTCTGTTTTGATAACTTTTTTAAAATTTATTTTATTTTTTATTATTTTTATTAGTGTGTGTGTGTGTGTGTGTGTGTGTGTGTGTACAATCAAATCAGATCTGACTGGTACAGGAGGAGATCGTCCCTCCTTCCCCGGCAGAGCATCTGGTGGATTTGAACCATGCTCCTCTGGGATTGCAGTGCAGCTTCTTGCCACTAGGCCACCAGAGCTCCCCTGTTTTGATAACTGTTTTGGTGTGACATCTTGTTTTGGCTTTGTGTAGGGTGTGAGGTAGTCATCCATGTAATTGCTGTGGTACAGTTTTTCATGCCTGAGGCCTAAGCAGACCCTTGATCTGATAACCTTACCTCAGTACTTGACTGCTCCAAAAGAGGGAAAGGTGGCTCACTCTGCCTGATTTTTTTCTGTGATCCCTTGACTCAAGAGGAGACTTGCTTTATTTGGAGAGCTCAATACACTAGTAGGGAAGGGAAAGACAACGCATGCTGCCTTTCGTTCTTCCTCTCTGGTCCTATGGCAAAATTAGCTGAGATTGGGGGATATCAGCTATTTCTGTTTCTTTCTCTCTGGTCCTGCAGTTAAGATCTCTGGTGTGTACAGTTTGTTGTTCTCTGGTTGCAGCCCTCTCTCCTGAAGCTTGTTGTCCTCCTTGGTCTGTGGAGTGGTGCAGCCAAATTTCCTGACACTCCTCACTACTCTGAAGGAAAGAACCTATGAACCTTCTGCTCCAGAACCATATTCTGGTAGCTGCTAATAGCTGGAGTCTCTGAATTAGACTGTACAGCTGGAACAGCAGGATGTTGTCCCAGATAAAAGCAATTCCTTGCCTGGATTCTGAATATTGATTTTAGCCTCCTTTTCCCCAAGAGCCACAGCAACAGGGATTATACCTAGATGGGGTCCAAAGGGCCTGTAGCTCAAGTACTGGCTTTGGGAGGGCCCAGGGGTTCTGAGGTGGTATTTGGAAAGAAAATGGCTTCACCTGTAGAGATGGCATGTGAATTAGTAGCCTTTTCAGTCAGGCAACTGATGCAACTAGATGGGATCCAAAGGGTCTGCAGCTCGAATAGTGGCTCTAGGAGAGTTCAGGAGAACTGAGGTGATATTCAGGAAGGAAATGACATTACCTGTAGATATGGTGTGTAAATTAGCAGCCTTTTCAGCCAGGGAAGTGCCTCAGCTATGCGGGTGTCCAAAGGGTCCAATGCTCAGCTAGTTGCTTTCGGAGGGCCTAGGGGGACCAAGATGGTGTACAGTAAAGAAAGGGCTTCCCTGTAAAGATGGCGTGTGAAATAGCAGCCCTCTTGGCCAGGCAACTCCCTCGGCTAGGTGGGGTCCAAAGGATCTCACTGTAATTTCTTGAATCAATGATATAACTATTTCTCCAATCCTTTTTATCCTTGATTTCTTTGCACTATTTTATTGCTTTCTCATTTTAATTCCAGAACACTAATTCTCTACTCTACTTTCTTTTTTATATACTTATCTCTAAGTGTTTCATAACATTTTGTTCATTTTATATCATCGCTAATTCGTATAGCTCATCTCTAACTTGTACTTCATGTGTTACCTCCATGAAAATAGGTCCCAAACCTTCACATTTAGCTGCCCAACTAGACAGTTCTATTTCTGCCCTAACACTATATCACATTTAACAATTATAAAACCAAACTCAATTTCTTGCATTTCAATTTCACATGTCCATATCTGGTGAACGTTACTATCCCTGCTCCCCTAATTAGAGCCACCTCATAAAGTCCATACTCTAACTCTCCTAACCACTGTCACCAGAGAAAACTATTATGGGAGTGACGGTCATACAGTAATACCTTTATTCTAAAGACAAATAAGGGAGTTCTGGTGGTCTAGTGATACGGAGATATGCTGCTGCCAAACTGAAGGCACATTGTTCCAATTTACCAGCTGTTCTGTGGGTGAAAGATGGGCAGTTTCATCCTGTGCAACTTACTGTCTCAAAAAGAAAAAACACAACAAGCTGGAGGATGAGTTATGGATCTGTTCAAATTAAAAATACACAATAATAACAACACAGAAATAATACAGACTATGTTTATTGTTTATTATTTCTCCTTAGGATCCAAATCGTCTGTATTATGAACCAGCTGAGCTGAAGTTATTTGAAAACATTGAATGTGAATGGCCATTATTCTGGACCTACTTTATCCTTGATGGAGTCTTCAGTGGTAATGCGCAACAGGTAATGGATTACTGGACATTATCTTTCTAATAGGTAGGAGACAAAGTTGTGTCTAGTAGCTGAATGATCTGGACTAAGAGTCAGGAGACCTGGGTTTTCTTTTGACTTTTTTTCTACAACATTTACCTGTGTTTTATTGATATCACAAGAGTATTTGACTCTTCGTATCAGAACAAATTTTGGATAACATTGTAACAGAAAGAAAGCAACTGAAAATTAATACTTCTTTAACAATATCTTAAAAGGGACAGAAGGACACTCAAAGAAGGATGTCTTTTAGCTGGAGCCCTCATTCTCTTAGACTAGATGGCTAAGAGGTTGCTGTTGTTGCTAGGTGCCATCGAGCTGACCACAAGTCATAATGACCATATGGACAATGACTCTGAACCCTACTCTATCCTGAGCCAACCTCACCATTCCTGACACACCTGACCCCCTTGTCACAGTCACTGTGTCAGTCCACCTCACCCAGGGTCTTCCTCTCCTGCATTGACCTTCTATCCTTCTAAGCATGATGTTCCTCTCCAAAGACTGATCTCTCCTGGCAACATGCCCAAAGTATGAGATGGAGTTTCAAAATCCTTGCCTCTGAGGAACAACCTTGTTTCACCCTCTCAAAGTGAGATCTGTTTGCTTTTTGGGAATCCATGATATGGTCAATATTTTGAGGTAGATCTCCTTATCAAGTTTAGATCCTTTAACTATTGACATTTGCCCCTCCACCAAGCAGTCTATATGTGGGCAATACACCTCTCTTTTAACATAATAATAGGGTTTTCTGACCTTGTATCAATGATGATCTTTTTTAATGAATAGTAAGAAATAATTTTATTTTTTTAAATTTTAACTGAATTACTTATAGATTTGCACTGGATTACAGACTTTCTTCATTTCTTTTCCTTCTTTACATAATGTGCTGAATCAATGTCTCTTCCCTTAAAAGACAGTTCAAAACAGGAAGGCCAGTATTGAACAAATGGAGACATCACAAGACCCAATGAGTATTCGGGGCACTTCCAAATGTTCCCTCGCAACAACCTTAAACTTCGCTAACAGCTTGCAGGGCAGCTATCTTGAAATGACATTTCATGATGACCAAGCATCCAACCAATTAGGTGCCATCTTTTTTTCCACCCCTTTAATTGTGACACCCAAAAGGTGCATGCCTCACTTTTTTTTATTAATTTTAGTGAAAGTTTACAGAGACTTGGGATTTCCAGCCATTCATTGTTAAATTTTTCTCCCTGACAACCCGCTCCCCCCAAAATCACTGCTCTCCTTGAAAAGAAAAACTCTTTCATTGTTATGCAATCCGTCCCCCCAAGTTCACTCCACTATCCAGCCTTCATTCTGGACTTCTGGAATGACAAGAATACTCATTCATGTATCCCTTTTAAACAGAACTCTCCCTCATCTGTTTCAGTGCAATATACATCATTCTTCCCCTCCTTTACTGTCTTCTCCCAACCCCAAAGTCAATCCCTTTTTACAACAGTGGCCCTATGCAATATTTGTCCTTTTGTGACTGAGATATTTCACTCAGCATAATGTCCTCCAGGGCCATCCATTTTGCATAGTATCTCATGAGTTCCTTGTTTTTCAATGCTGCATGCTATTACATTGTGTGCATATACCAGAGCTTCTCTATCCATTCATTTGATGATGGGCACTTGGGATGTTTTCAGCTCTTTGCTATTACAAACAAAGCCGCAATAAACATGGGTGTGCATGATGTCATCTTTTTTCCCTTATTATTATTTTATACTGATTTATTTACAAAGTTGTAATACATTGTTTTTCACACAAGATCTTTCCCATTGCCTTCACCCCAAGCACACATCAAATTGTGCAACTTGTGCTTTTTCCACTCCAACCCCTGTCTCCAAGAGTAGTTTTTCTGGTGGCAGGTGGCAGAACTTCGTTTCTGTGATAACAACATTCTGAAGAATGGAAACGCTAGGACACTTAATTGTGCTCATATAAAAGATATACACAAGGTCCCAAAGGGGAAAGGGGCAGAGACAGTGGAAATGAGGATGGGGAGGGGCAAAATATCACGTGGTTGTAGAGTTGGGTGGGTGGAGGGTGGGGTGGAGGAATTAGAAAAGATCCTGAAAAGATGGGGTAATAGTAGGCATAGTTCAATGAACATTAGTTTTATCTTTTTTAATTAAGATTTTAATGAAAGTTTATAGAGTACTTGAATTTTCATTTATTCATTGTTGCACACTTTCCTCCCTGCCCACCCTCTCAGTTTGCTTTTCTCTTTGAAAAAAAAATTATCTCATTGTTGTGCAATTCCACCACCACCACCACCACCACCACCATCCCCAGAGCACTTTACCATGCAGCTCTTATTCTGGACTATTGTCATGCAAATAATACCTAATCTCACATTCTTTTTTAAGCAGTTTTATTCCTCATCTGTTTCAATGCAGTGTATATTATTAATCTCCTCTTTTATTAGTTTCCCCAAACCCCCATGTCAGTCCTATTTTATAACAGTGGCTTTATGCAATATTTGTACTTTTGTGACTGAAATATTTCACTCAGCATAATGTCTTCCAAGGTCACCCATTTTGTATAATATTTTATAAGTTCTTTGTTTTTCAATGCCGCATAGTATTCCATTGTGTGAACATACCACAGCATCTCTACCTATTCATTTGTTAATGGTTACTTAAGTTGTTTCCATCTCTTTGCTATTATGAACAAGCCAGCAATAAACATGGGTGTACATATATCTGTTTGGGTAGCAGTTGTGATTTCCTTAGGGTATATTCCCAGTAGTGGAATTTCTGGATCAAATGGTATTTCCATTTTCAACATTTTAAGAAAGTGCCATACCATACTGCTTTCCATAGTGGTTGCACCATCACTTCGCCTTTCTTTTCAATTTGTTGACTTCACTACGGACCATTGAGTAACCCAAGTATTGACATTGACTTTTGTTTCTCTGTTTATGAGATGAGACGCTTTTTTCCTTCCTCATTAAAGATGAAGATACCCATAAAGTACTTTGAATTTATTATAACTGCAAAGTACATTCACTTCTACTGTCATGTGGCATATAAATGTCTTTTTAAAACACTATGGTGAGGGAGGTCTGGTAGCCTAGTGGCAAGAAGCTGTGCTGCAATCCCAAAAACACACAATTTGAATCCACCAGATGCTCTGCTGGAGAAGGAGGAGCAATCTCCTCCTGTGCGAGTAGGATCTGATTCAACAGGACACAACAAGAAGAAATAACAAACAAATACCATGGTAGCATAATCATTAAATAAAAGGTACAAGGATGATGAGAATATAATTTTAGAGTCACCAGATAGAAAAACTTTATCAGTGACACATTAAAAAATGATAGAGACTTTAAAAAAATATCCTTGATTTAGACATGGATAAATATTATATATGGTACATTCTCCTTTTCAAAACTCTGAAGTTTGACACAGAGAGTGAGTGACACACAGACAGCAAGCAGGACAGTAGGAATCTGAGTGAGAACTATTATCAAAATACTTCGTTTGGGAGCCACAGGAGCAGCAAGCTGTGGGCCCCAGCAGGAGCCACCAGACTAGCCCTGGTGGGAGCTTCCAGACAAGCTACTGTGGCACCCACCAGCCAGGAGCAAGCAGGAAAACTGGAATTTGTCTGAGTTTTCATAAGCCTCACCAGACCCAGAGCCCCACTAGACCCAGAGCCCCGCTGGGCAAGAGCCAAAAGGCGAGAGTCAGACATCTGGAGTTTGAGTGAGGACCCTGCCCAAGCCCACCCAGACAGATGGAATCTGAGTGAGCTATCCATGCATGCTTGCCCTGCACCTGTTCAACCCTGCACCCCTGCCTCCACGTCCAGTCAACTAACTTGCATTTAATCTGGAGTGCTTTGATCTGACTTAGCTGCAACAAGAGGCTGCTCACACAGGCCCTGAACTGAAACTTCCCTTGGATCAGAAGGTCAGAGAGAAATACAGGCAGGGTAGCTGCCCCACCCTTTTCTAGATCAGTGACTTCAAATCAAGAACTTATCATCACCTCGGGCATGAAAAACTCTATCATAGCAATGTCACATAAAAAGCAGGCTACCATACCAGTGACACCTTTGCTGTTGTCACGCTCCACACATGTTTGCAGGAAACTGAAGATGCAAATAAGGGCTGAAGACTGTTACCAGGAAGATCCAGAAGGGACCGATCCTGTTTGATCTGAGAGCTTACTTTGCTCAAAAAGCTCCTAGCTGTGTTGTGACTTTGACCTGCAGACTAAGAGCAGGAGCCCTGTTTGCTGGCAGTAACATCGTCCCTGGGTGTGATGGCATGGAGAGTACCTGCTTAGTATGCATGGAGGCTTCTTCACGCTCTTTTCCTTAACAAGTTTGAGATCCATTCTTCTACAGGCCCAAGTTCAGAAGCTCTGGCCAGGCACCTAAGTGATCTCCAGCCCCAAAAAAACAAACAACAGCAACAAAACCCAAAACAAAAAAACCAACTCCCTTTATAAGTTGAAACACCTTCCTAGACTGAAATACTTCCAGATGTGCACCTGTTGGACTCCTGTGCATACCTCAAAAGCCCAGCTGTACTTGCCTTTCATCCAGGAAGCCTCCAACACTGCTGCCCTCAGCTGCCTTGAATTCTTGGTGTGATATAGCTGCTGTCTGGACTGATGCTTTCTGTTGTTGTTTCTGTTTCCTTGTGGAGATGTATTCCCAGCTAGACTTCCTTTTTCGTGCATGTCCTGGAACTTCTAAAGGAACAAGTATCCTGTCAATTAATTGCTTTACCATCTCTTTAACAGCTTTTGCATATTACTCTTTAAGCTCAGTTTAATGATGAAATTGACAGGCTTGGGTTCTGTTCTTGATTCTGTCACATCTCAGCTATGTTACTTCTTGCAAGTTACTTCCTTTTGTTGGGTCTTGGCCTTACCCAGCTGTCTAATTGGGAACGGCATGCATTAGATGAGTCTTAAGAGTCCTAAGGTAAAAGTTTTTGGAATTCC